TTTCTTGACTTCAGTAAGATCACCCTTTATGTTGATCAAACCCAACCAAGAAGTAGAAGTATATTTCTTATTCAGAAATATGTATTGATAAATAAAATGGAAGAAAAACTAAATTCTATCAACTCTTTTTTGTTTCTTCTATGTCTAACTGCATCTTCATCCTACCCCCCATCTGCCATAATTTTATCAAAATGGAATCATCATTCAACACACAAAACTATGTTGCATATTAATTAGACAGTATGTTAGTTTCTGATTGTTAAGAAGGAGATTTTAAAAAGATTTTACACCTATTCCTTGCAAATTTTAGACTTCTAATGTAACACTATCAGTACATTAGGGGTACATAATCTTCAAAAACATCTCTATACTTATTACTTAATGATAAAGCTTTCACATTAGAATTGTTTTTAGCCCAATGGCTCTTCTAAAGAGGATTTAAAATTGACCCAAACCTTACTAACTGCTTTGAAATTATATTGACAGGGACAGAGACACACTTGACATTCCATCCCCCCTTCCTGGGGTATGCTTTGCACAAAATTTAAGTAAAATTGACTAAGCTGGATAGAAGTCGAAAATATGAAAAATTACAGTCAAACAGATTATGAATAACTTTCAGCACATCAGACATGAAGTAGTGATCCTTAAATAAAATACACCTACAAGATGAAGCTGTTTTATTCCTTTGAAGTGATATCTAGTATTGTTTCTTTTCCTGTATGCCACCTCTATTAGAACAAAATGTTATACATGTATTAAGATAACCTATGACCGTATAGTACCCCAGTATTTACTTTACAATTAATTAAGTTCTGGAACCAACCCTCAGATGCCCTTAAAACAAATGATTCTAAACTGGCAAAGGTAAAGGGCATCTGAAGAATTTAAAATAAAATGATAGTACAAACAAGCAAACAGTGTGCTTGAAAATGATGGCAAACACTAGAAAAAATACTAAGGTACTTTCTCAAACTTAACATGAATACTAAAGAGGTTTTATGTAGCTCTACTGCACATACCAAAAGCTTTCCTGCAGTTAAAGGTTGGTTGCCTAGTAGTTATGTAGTATGTACATGTACAAGTTTTTCCCTCTATCTCTTCTAATTTAAGAAGCGAAAATGTCTCTAAAAATCTTATGGTAGGCATGAAGTATTCCTGGCCCCAAAACCATAAACTGAGAACAGACTTACGTAAATATTTCAAATTGATATAACTTTGGAAATAATTTCGATAACAAAATAAAACTTTCAACATATGTTTGAATTGGAAGTATTTTACACAGTTGCAAATTTATAAGCTAATACATCCAATGGAACTGAAGATTAAAAATTAAAATTTTGACTTAAGTCTATTCTCTGTTTATGGTTTGGGGCCTGTTCATTTTACTGATTACGTACAATTGTCCTATTTCTGAGGGTCATCTTCTGATGAGTGTGTTCTCTGCAATGTTCACAATTTAAGTTACTGTTTGACCTGTTACATATTAAAAATCCTCAATGAACATGATTATGGTTTTAATGTCCATTGTAATTATTGATTACTTTTATAAAAAAAAAATCTAAACCAATTTATTGTAACATAATACTTAGGAAAATATTTATGTAATATCAATGGAAAAAAGGAATCATTATCTCCAGTTATCCTAAAATCACAAGTAAGCATTAATCATATAAATTCACATACGTAAACCCATTAGCTTTTTGTGCTGTTAAATCATAGTCATCGCTGTGCAATAAAGGAAATCAAGTACTAATCCACAGCTTGGTGGCAATAAAGTTACTATCCCCGAGTAAAAAGTGACAAGCCAAAATATAGAGGCAAAAATTAAAAAGTAACATTGAAAAAAAGTTCATCGTGAAAAAAGTCAGGGTATTAACTACAGATGATTCTTTTTCAAATTAAAGTTTAATTTAATTTTCGCTAGTAAAATTTAATCATATATAAATTAATGATTTAAAAAAATGAAAAAAAGATTTTAAATATTCCTTTTCTGGTCATTCACTAGTTCGTCTAATTAAAACGAAGCAAAAATCATTTTGTTTTCATCTTGAATCATTTAAAGCCATACATGGCGTATGTACAATGAAAATTATTAGACTAAAATTATGACAACTTATTATTTGTATCATTACTTTATATAAACATGATAAAGATAGAAATTTTCCGTTAATTACAAAATCTAAGTCAATTGCGTTATAAAGATATCAAAATTTAATTTGGATTCTCGGAATTTTCTCCGACTTGGAAGAAAATACAAAAGATTTAAATAACACATTACAGAGAAGATAAAATCGTATTATTAGATAAAACGAGGTGTTCTCCGTGCTCCGAATTGTATGAAAAGCTTTAATTTAAATGTATTAACTATATTTCTTTACTTAATTTTGTATTTTTCAAAAATATATTTTTTGATCAGTTACGCCATACCCATGGCTTTAAAAAAAACGCTACATAATTGCATGACACTTATCATTGAGCTGATTGAGTGAATGTATATAATTTAATAATGAGATATCTGTGAGGCATATATGTACAAGCAAATATTGCTATAATAAACAAAGGAAAAGGGGAATTCAAATTAGGAAATAAAAGATCGTTTTTAAGTAAATCAGTCTTGTAGTACTGCAAAATGGATGCAGTTATGGAGATTTATGGATTATATGAGTATGCTGTCTGGAATATTTCCATATTAGGGAATTTAATAGCAAAAAAGAGTGAAAATACCAGTGTTGCTTTTCATGTATTACATGTGTATTTTAAAATTCCTAATAGCCCAAGGGGATTCCTCAGTGCAGAAAACCACTAGCCCCATCCTCAAAAATGGAAGCCCCAGGTGTAGCGCGATGCTAATTACACACCCATCATGTGAAATAGTTATAGTAGCCCTATATCAATTTCAGTATTGTTTTAAATTAATTAAAACAAATGACAAAAACAATAATTAAAGAAAAATCAAAATAAGGCAAACACTCATTCAAAATCAAAGACAGAAAGAAGCAGTTTTGACTGAAAGTTTTTCAGTAATACAATGGATCTCTTAAGTTACATATCAGATGAGATAAACTTACATACAATTATTTAGTTGTTGTCAATTATCCCATTTACGAGGGTTGATCCATAAGTAATGTCACAACTTTGATAAAATTGCTAAAAGTCGACGTAAAAAAACAAAATTACACATGATGAAAGCTTTATTTATTTCAAATTAAACCTGAAAAATTCAAAAGAATATGACGTATAAATATCGGATTTTAAACAATGTGCACTTATGGTAGTCGCAGCACCTAAATTTAACGTCATTTGACGGATACACGCCCTCATATTAGTAAGCGTGTCCCCTTTGTTTCATTAAAACATTTGTGATTCGCAAACACTTTCACCAATATCACTTTCTTTATGAATTCGTGGTACTATATACACTCACTCTTTTTATAATTTAGCCCTCCTTTAAACATTTTTGAACAGTAGCATAAGACAAACTTGAAAATTCACGTCACTCTATCCGTCTGTCTTTTTTGACAACGTCAGACACCATTGAATGTTTCCGGCTGATCTCGTAATTTTCGGTCTTCTTGTCCTCTGATGATCATTCAATGACCCAATACCCGCCCAAAATTTCTGAAACTATCTATAAAGAAATCTCTTATTTGCATTCTTTATTCTGTGAGTCTGATTAATAAATGTAACTGTCGCGTGTGATGATTCCTATATTTTGAAGCAAAAATGAGTAGTCGAGCTGTTTTTTTCTCATTTCGACAATCCCTTTGTTCAATTCAACAGAGTAAAACAACAATGTTTATGATCAAAAATACTAATACCGAAATTTAATTTCAATTAAAGACTAGAAAATGACGTGTCTTTTAAAAAATTGGGAAATCAGGTGCTTTTTTCGAATTTTTTAATGTGTTTGTCTTTTTCATTTTAAGAAAAAATACACTTTAAAACGTGACGTTCAGTTGTGAGGCGGCAACACCCCCTATGCTCTATGTTTCAAACATCTATAAAACAAATTCAAATAGACATCATTCAATGAAAATTTTAATGTTAATTAAATTTGTATTTGTGCATCTTTTGGTATGTTGTATTTGATAATATGACGCCAAATATGAAAGATATGGACACTGTGACATTATTTTTGGATCAACCCTCGTATCATCATCTCAGCTCACTTTGCGATTGTAATACTGTCTATAAATGAACCGATAATTTACAGCTGATTTATGAACGCACGATTGTTAAAATTTTCATTTCCCTTTCCAATATACATTGTCAGAACATACTTAGTTGGTTATGATATAAAATTAAATAATAAACACTTTCGATTTATTAAAGATTATCTAACAATATACGATCAATTACTAAATACTTCTCCCCCTCAAGAGAGTTAAAAAGACAGAGAAAATTCAAAATACAAACAAGTGCAACCTAGGATTAATTGTTCCGATATATCTATTTTAATTTTGTGCACAATTGTTTTCAAAATTACATTAAAATCTATTTTCCTTAAACAAGAACCCAGCAATGGATAAATATTAATCGAATAAACTTACCTTTTCTCTTGTCAATCAGAAAATCTTGTTGACATTAAGTGTTTCTTAGTAGCCATATTTTTTTCCATGAAAACAAACGTTGTTATGATCAGAATCAACGGAAGTTGATTTTCGGAACTCTCGAGAATTTACAGTTCCGAATGTAAAACTGAAACAACAAAACACGGTGTGTCCGTGAAAGCAACTTTTTTGGACACTTTTTTGGACAAATCGTCGTGTCCAAGTTTTGTTGGGTACTAACCTGCAAATACCCAATTAGGGTGTTTTAAACATATTCAGCGACACTTCTTATTGGGTATACCCAATAAGCAAAAAGTACCCAATAAGTACAATCTTGGTGTGAAAAATACCCAATAAATGCACTCTCGTAAACACGGACTGACAGACAGACGGACGCCGGACAAAATGTGATCAGAAAAGCTCACTTGAGCCTTTGGCTTAAGTGATTTAATAATAGTCAAGCAACTTACTTTCTAAAATACCTCCTGGAAGATTTACTCTGCAAATGAAATAAAGTCTGTATGATATATACTAAACTCAAAACTTAAAACATAGTAAATACTATTATAAATATACATTTATTAGCAAAGATGTTTAAACAGTGACCTACTTTTGTATTGTCGTTGTCTCCATCGCTGTGGAAGGTGTTGCAGTATGTGCTGTTGAACTTTGTGATCTGGTTGTTGTCTGCGATTCGATACTCTTTGTTGTTGCTGATGATGCTACAGTTGTTATCAGGGATGATGAAATTGTGGTCGATGATTTTGAAGATGTTTGTACTGTAGTTATCGTTTCTTTTGTTGTTGTTAATGGTGCTTGTGTTGTTTTGGATGATACCGAGGTTGTTTGTTCAGTAGTTGTAAGCTTTACTGTTGTTCTACACGGGTTTTGGTACCTTTGTGTTGTTGGTTCCTCTGATGGCGTCGTTATTGCTGGTCCATTGTAACATGTTCCACAGCAGACATCGGGGTTGTTTGGACAGTGTATTGATAAGCAGCCAGAAGTTCTGTCTCCATACTCACATCCTTAAAGCAACATTTAAAAGCAATTGATTACTTGGTCACAACTATGACGAATATTGCTTACAAAGATGACAGAAGAAGTGTTCAAGGAATGATCAATTCTGAATACAAGACAATTTTTATGACAAACTTCCTTCCAGAACAAATCTCAGATGCATACGTAAGTATATCATTTATTGTCTTATTTAAAACCATAACCTTTAGCTTCAAATCAATTTGAATGCGGCTACTAATTAAATGGACAACATATTTCACATGTGATTAAAATAGTTCTCTTTCATAATCATTTATAAGTTGTATCACGTCTTTAAGTACCTCTTGCATAAAAATATGAACCATTTCCAAACCTGTTATTCCGGTATAGAAGTTTTGACACTGTCGGCAACATTGCGTGTTTATGTCGTAGCAAAGGAAAGGGTATTTCTTTATGTCTTCAAAGGAACAGGTTACATTATTTCCATTGAACTCGATGACTTTGCCTTCTCTATCTCCATACAAACACGATTCTGAAAGGGGAAAAAGACACAGGGTTATTGGAATAATGGCGTTTTGTTATTTTGCTTAACCAACCTCTTAGACAGCAGTCAGCAGTTTAGGGCATTTTGTATATGTTTTTGAATCTTATGATGCTTATAAGGGGGTCAACTTCAAATACATACCTTGTGAAAGATCACAGTGTTTGAATTCCTTAATCTAGTCTGGTTGACCCCTTTTTTCCTATGTACATCATGTTACATTGTCATAGATCATTATATGCTGTTTGGGGTCAGATTGTGCAATACCTTAAGATGTGTAATATTTGAGTCCCCTTTTCTGACCTCCATTTTGTTAACTGTGTTTTACTTCTTTCGTCATTTAGTTTAATAAATGACATTTTCACTTCTACATGATATTATTTTGTTTCTGTCGGTTTTTGCCAAAAACAAGCTCAGTTTGGCAGGAGAACTCAGGAACATATAGTTCAATAATTGGCAATACACATGTATACTACTGTATCTTTCTTGCCAGATCCGTTCAGGAGAATGTTTTAATAACTCTCCCCCTACAGTATATTTTAAATAAAAGGTTTTTGCTACCCTTAAACTACATCAAAACAACATTGCATGGATTTTTGTCGTTAGCTGAACCCCATACAGCGAGAATCAACCATTCTCTGATCGAAATGCAAGTTAACTTATGAAGAATTTCATTGAATTCGCAAAAAATCTATGTTCTATCAAATCATTAATCTAAAATTATATAGAAATATAAATTGTTAACATTGCAACTGTGTCTAAATCCCCTCACCATAACCATTGAAAGGTTGGTGCCATGGCTGTCAATTTCACTTATGAATCCCTTGTGATAACACCTTTCCCAAAGTACTTTCATTCTCCCAATAGAGGTTCATCTCGGAGATTGCCCTACTTTTGAAAAAAAATAATCTTTCCAAAAATTCCTGTCATATTTTACAAGCGAATTTCTTGTGACAAGACCTTTCTTTGGGTACCAACAATTTCATTCCTTGATCTTGGTTGGGGTTTAACTTGCATTTATAAAATTTTAATCTAACCTTCGCCATGATCTATAATTGGGGGCGTCAGTTTTTCACAAAATTATCTTGTCAGCAAATACAGTTTATCATTGAGTCAAATGCTGACTGACGTTTTTCATACTAATTGTTAGTCCATTATTTATACACTGAACTGACGACGGATTTTTTCGTTATTTTCCGATCATGACAAGGAGCACACGGCGGTTGTGACCGGTCAGCAGGGGATGCTTACTCCTCCATGGCACCTAGCTGATCCCACCTCCGATGTTTTGGAGGTCCGTGTTTGCTCTGCTCCTATTTTGTATTGTTTTACGGAGTTTGATGTTGCATACTGTTCGTTATCTCCATATCCTTCTTCTTGCTTTATTTTATGTCGGCTAACTATTGAATGTCTTTCGCTTTGTCCTTCCAGCTTCAATGACACCCCCTTTTCAAAATAGATGATTCATGTTATTGCCAGGCATTAATTTTTTCTAAAACAAACAGAAAATAAATGTCTAATTTTAACATCAAGCTTTGTATTTTTAAACCATGCATGTCACATTGCATTTGGCTAGGATTTCAGAAATGTAAGCAAGAAAAATAACGTGATTTTCTTAACGAGTTTACGTCATTTACTCATTGCATCATACAAAAAACAATTTATATTTTATTAATTGTAGAAATACCTTACCAAGTTGACTAAGCTTGATTTTTTAACGAGAAAGGCAAAAACCAGTGACACATTGTTGAATTGAAAAAAAATGTCATTTCATCATAAAATGACGAATATAAAACTTGTACATACAAATAATGGGGGGCAGAAAAGACTAAAAACGTTGACAAACAAATTTAAGAGTATCTTCACTAAATATTATGCAATCTCCCCCCCCCCCCCCCAAAAAAAAAAGAAAACATAACATAAAATTACATGAGAATCCACTTCTCAACTATAACATTCAAAATACGATCCACCTGTCCACAAAAACGATGGGTTATGTTTTGTCAATACGGCGACTTAGCCAATCTCGTTGTACAAGTACAATATCTACGGTATTATATTCATATATATTCACATTATTCTCCTCTTTGGAGCTAAATTGTCGTACGATCCCAGAAATAGCATAAATTATATTGTATATGTATGAAATAATGTTCCTACGGGCTTCTGTAAAAAAAAAGCCATAATGTATTTAAGTGCAGTTTCATTATTGTAATCAGAAACTTTCTCACCCTGTTTATCGTAACCTTATAATGTCTGGCTATTGTAGGGTAAAGCAAACCCTTAGCTACATGAACCTGGAAGGTTATATTCCTGATTTTCACTCTATACCTTTCTACCGTCGAAAGGATATAATTTCAGGGAAATTATTTAAATAATAAAATACTGTCTTTGGTTGTTAGTACCAGAATTAATGCCACAGATGTCGCTTAAGCGGGTTTGTATTTTTTCTGCAATAGCTGCGACGTTAATTCCCGTACTAACAAACAAAGCCATTTTATTGTTTTATATTGTATACGTATTGTTATATTATGTTGTATGAAACAACAAAGTAAAATTAAATATTGTATTATAGATGAATATGTCATTGTTTGCATAACTGATGGAATAGCCATTATTCAAGATATCTACTTGTTTTCACGTGGTTTGCTTAGTGTCAATGACAATGTTCTTCATTAGAAATAAAGGAAAAAATAATCAGTGGATGTAAATATATAGCAACAGTCAGACTGAGTCTATGATAGAATTCGTCTTACCGTCCCCAGGAGGTGCACATTCATCGCTTTTACACACACCAGCGATACACCACTGAAATAAAAGATTTGTCAATTTACAGGATTCATTTGATATCTAGAAGAAACGGTAAGCGATGTCAATTTCAGTTTTATATGAAGTACATGAAAATTAAGTATTTTATTGCATTGACGGTGTGAATACAGCAGATACTTGGTGTACTTATGTACTTTTTTATTTCCACATTGAAGTCCGTCTCCACCCACGGTTGAGACACACAAACCACTCCCATCAGTCTTTCTACACCATAATTTCGTACAGATGGATGTGAAGTTTTGGTTGTAAAGTCCCTAGACAAAGATTCCAAAAACACAGGCCAACTGAAACTCTTATTCTCGTATTATAGAGTCGTGCATTTTCTGTTATCGATCGATTTATTAGAAATTTTATTCATTTTAAGATGTTATAAAATCAAGTTTTACCTTACAAAATGAAGATACTGAGCCGACAATATGTCGACAATGTGCGTCAGCATCGAATATCTCTCCAGGGAGCGCTGTGTACTGTTTTAGTGCGTCAGGATTGTACTCTGGACTTAAGACCGTCATACAGTTGTTGTTTTCCCTGTTATATTGATTTGATTAGGTAAGATACATTAATTTTGTTGAGTGGTAAATGAATTACAAATAAACATTGCATATTAAACAACCATGCAGAAAATACATTCAAACTAACTTATATTTTAAGGTTGAAACTTGTTCAACAATTTTAAATTTATCAGCGTATTGTATTTTGATTTCGGATAAGCTTGGTTGATCCACATAACTTTTTTTTTTATATTCTGCTTTGATAATTCGTTTATATTTTCTTTTTTCGAGTGTTACTGAATTTAAAGCATTCCCGTCATATATATATCGTTTATTTTCATACCAAAATGTTGATTAATATATTTTTTTTAAAGTTCGGATCATTATTATGTTTTTCATCTTTAAATTAAAAGTGCTTTTTGTGACGAATAAAATTTACGCTACCAGCCATTGGTCTAGGATTTTTTAGGTTCACATTGACTTGGTGATTAGATGCAATCAAATTTTTAATATTTTACAACAAGATCTTATTCAATTCTTTCTTGTGCTTTCTTTTCAGATATTTTAATGAACACGATGAAAGCTATTTTGATCATGATTTAACGTCTAGTTGTTTGCTACTTTTGGACGGTGGGCTGTGAGTGACCTACAAAAGAAAATCTACCTGTTCAATTTGTCGATGAAGGACGTGAAATAATTGGTGGAACATATGGAAAATTTCCAGGGATTTTGATTATCCACCGGAACAGAGGTTGCGGCCATTATATAGGCATCGTTACCACTGCAAGCATTGTTACTTCCGTCATGCTCAGCACTCAATCTGAAAATTAAGAAAAAAAACGCTTTTCTTTTAATTAGCAGTTCATGATAGTATCATTTGTTCACGTTTCTTATCAAATGGAATTTAAGTATAAAAAGTCGTTGTTAAATTCTTTTATCAAAATAGACTATAAATAGACATTAGAGACATTACACCCTTCATTATTTAAGAATGAAAAGCATTTAATTACGTATCAATTTTTTTTTTTTAAATTGATGGCGTATCTTATTTGTTATTTTCAAAGGTGACCCCTTAAAAATCTATTATATCACAATGAAAAATATTAGATTGAATACCCATGTCCTAATTCATGAGCTGCAGTCGTGATAACGTTAAAATCAAAGTGGTCCTCCGCTACGGATACAGACTTGGTCGTGCATACAGCTCCAAGCCAGGCTAACCCTGCCACGTCTGGAGAACCATCCTTAGTAAAGTCGTATCTATCAACAAATAACAGGTAGCCGTTATTAAAGAAACCCTCAATTTTATTACACTCTACTTGTAAATAAAATTAAAAAGCTGCTTTGAAACTGGAGGACAATTATTGAATGTTTTTGCTATTGTACATCTTTAAACTTAATTTGAAGAATGAACGTATGTGTATCTCTCGCCGATTCTAAAGCAGTAATATATTCAATAAAGGTACTTTAGTTATATTTTAAAGGAATTATAAACTCCAATCATACCTTGTAAACATCATTGCGTGATCATTTTGAGGTAACCCGGAAGTTTCCTGTAACCATGACGTCACGGCTGTGAGTGCTACATTAGAGTCAACTTGTGTACCAGACACTGATGAAATTTTGTTATTTTCTGTGAAGGTGGATTTTGAGGCATTCTGTAATAATATGGTACTGTTTATTAGATGAAAATTTTTCAAATCAAAAAGATACATTTTTAGCACAATAAAACAAAAATCTTTCTACCTTTATATGTGTTTCACTGTCATTTTTGTTTATTCCATGTACAGAACAATTTGTCTGATCTGCCATTGGTTCCAAAGAAATTGGTCAGATAAGACAATATTTTAGATCAGAATTTTTTTAAAATTATTATTTTTTTAAAATGGACTTACAGTTTATATAGTCTTAGACAGTATTTCGGAAGCATAACAGTTGGATTAGACAACTTGAAGTTTCACTGTACATTTAAATGGCATATTCAAAACAAAAGTCACTCGACATCTTTATTATTTACCCAAAATTCATATCATAATCCATTTTAAATTTATCTACTGATTAAAAAGTTTATTTTTAAATTCTATCTTGTAAAAAAATTTCTCTTAATATTAAATCAATCAACAGAGAATTTAAAATGAATTATACAAAAATCTATAATTATTTCCTAGAATGACTTACCAATATGCAAAGAGGGATAACTTTCTAGTGGTTATTTTAAGCACATTAATCAAGCAACAATTAAATTAGCAAGACGTCTTCTTTCCGATTTGTACTCACGTCAGCAATGTATATTCCAGAAAACAGAATTGATATTGTATAGGAAGAGGTTTGGATATTTTTGTAACGAACGTCCATCTGGAAAATATTATGTCTTGTTCATTCATGAATACATTGGAAGACTGATTACAAATGAGAAAAGGTTATTTTTTTCGGTATTTTATTATGTCCAAAATTTTTAATTTGATTTGAATATTTTCAACGAAGTTGTAAAATTTCCATTTACCCCATTGATAACAAAAGAGTAGAACTGTCGGATACTTTCTTTCGCCTCTTCATCTTTGGAAGTTACATTTGAGGCTTTGCTTTGTGCATACCAACTATATAATAGAAAAGAAAAATGTCATTTGAATTCTTGTTCTTTGTTCCAGAGGTGAACAGTTGTTATAGAGTGGAATCTTAAAATTTCAAATTAAACACTTTTCATAGGTCAAGGTCTCTTTATATCACGACAATGACAAAAATTAAATAATCAAGAAAAGAAGTAGGTTTAATATAATTTGAAATTAAATTTGATGAAATAAAGTTGGTTACAGTGAAGCCATGAGGATCTTACTACGAATAGATGGAGTAATCGATGATAAAGAACAACTCTATTTTGTAGTGATTTATTTGTCTTCTTCTCCTGTTTATTCTGCTCTTTATACCATGGATACGTCCACCTTGGTCCAACCCTGCTTTTAAAAGTATTCACGTTATTAAATTTTATTTACGGAGATTCTGTTAAAGGAATAGCTTCAATAGCATAAATGAATCTTATTTTTCAAAATTTGGCATTTTAATGAACATTGTATATTTTCATTCATTGCAGGATGTTAGTGACCATGAATCTTAGAAGCAAAGTGTGAATGAAAAATGATATTGTCTCGTACTTAGGGAAGATTTTACTCAAAGCTGCTTGATATTCACATGACAAATGAATGTAGGCAAATCAGAATATCACATCAAAATGATTTTGAACAACCATACCTATAATGGATTCCAAAACTTCATCAAAATCATTACAAACAAAGATACATAGCAGGTTCCAGTGAATGCTCAACCAAGCCTCTACCTCAATTCAACAGTGAGGTATTAACAGTAGTGAAGGAGAAAGTTCAAAAGTACTGTGCAACAATATATTCAAGAAGTGGTGTAATTCAGATGTGGATGCTTAAAAACTCCAAGGAACAATTTAGACAATTTGAAATCACATGGTTTTACCAAAATCAACAACTTTAAAACTTACGACAGCAATATACCCTTCATCACCTGCATACGGAGTTCATATTTCTTAGTTGATTTGATACGCAAGAGTATGCTCTACATATGGAAAATTGTTAAAACGAGGTTCAATATTGACAAAAAAAATGATGAAACAAGAATATCAGAAGTCTTGTTTAAAGTAATCATTTCGTAAGTTCTATGGTCGATACAATGACCTTGTCAGCAAATACAACTTATGATTGAGTCAAATGTAGACTGACGTTTTTCATACTAATTATCAGTCCATTATTTATACACTGAGTTGACGAAGGATTTTTCCATTATTTTCTGATCAGAATAAGGAGCTCACAGGGTTATGACCGGTCAGCAGGGGATGCTCACTCCATGGCACCTGATCCCACCTCTGATGTTTTGGAGGTCCCTGTTTGCTCTACTCCTATTTTTTATTGTTTTATGGACTTTTGATCTTGAAAACAATTCGTTATCTCCATATGTTTTATGCATAATCAAATATGTTTGTAGTAAGACCTTCTCACAAGTGACTGAATACTGTTCCTTTTTCCATATGTTTCATATCAAAAATAAAGTTTACGTTAATATATGATTCAGAAACAAATTAGTCTACAAAACTTAACCAACACGTTTGTTTTTACTCACTTGGTTTCAAAGCATCAGCAAACGATGCATGTGACCTCTCCACTTCTGTGATCTTGTACTTTTTGTCTCTATCGTTGACCTGGAGGCAATCTTCTAATTCAGGTTCCAGTATAAACTCACTTTTTCTGTATAGAAATATCCCTGTCTAAATAACGGACGAAACATTGATAAACTAAATATAGGTCAAATCATAGAAATGTACTAATCTATCATTTACATTGACTCAATTCGCATATTTGAAGTTGATTAGTTATTATTCTATGTTTATATTTTGTTGGTTTTTCATGTTCGTACTTTTAATTACAAGATACATGCAATACCCTGTTTTTAATATTCAACATACCATGCATGAGTAGGAATTATTGGACATAATCATAAAGGATGCTCCATTTCTCACGTCCTGATAGAATCTGACCTCCTATTCAATGGATAAAACCAGTCTTTAAAAGATACCCTTCTAATTTAAAGAGAAATGAGATGTGGTATGACACGCTAGAGAAATGGTTAGTTATTCGATTACAGATTAGCATCAAGTTATCATTAATTTTCATAATGGTGTAATATAATGTAAAAAAAAAATCTCAGTGTCTGTTAAATTCCAGTCATTCTGAATTTAAAATGTCAAGTTTATAATGACAAGAGAAAATATTTCCACAATATTTAGAAAAGAAACACCATCAGTTAGAAAGTACAGGTATTATTTTGATTCTGTATTTACTATATTGGTTGTATGAATTCAAAGTATGAATTCAACGTAAGCAATACTTCATAGTAATGAGTTATGACAAGAAATAGAGGAACAGACGATAACCCAAAAATAATAGCAAATTGCTTTGTCTGTTTGTTTTTTTCAAACTCTCCTCGAGAAAATTTTGGACTCCTATTGTGAATTCACTTGCCAACGTTTGCTGCAAATTTAAAGATGTACTTGGCATTTGTGGCGTTTGAGCATTGAGGTTTCATTTTCGTGCAAGCATCTTCTGTACCATGAAATCTCGCTATATATGGTCTCATTCGAAGGTCCAGTCCCCGCGTTACATCGTGGATTCAAATACTAGTAGCGAAGTTAGGATCAACTCATTATTTTGCGACATACACTGTAAGAGCGGATATTTTAACCACTGCGCCAAAAGGATTGTATCTCGTACATTAGTCTATTACAAATACATATTTGAATTTTGGCATCTATAATAATTTTAAAAGACCTGAGGACCTATATCGTTAATGATAATTAATGCAAACCTTGTTTAGTCTCTTATACCTTTGATTGTTGAATACGTTGAATCTTTACAATTCCTTTTGAATTAGTTGTGTATATAGGTGTATTTGTTTGTAGTTTTTGATTCCAGGTCAGATCAAAGTCTATAAAATCATTACTGATGTTGACGGACAGCGATAAATGCTTGGAACCATTTGTTAATTTTATACCATCATCACTAAGTCCTCTAATCTTCACTATGACATCGTCTAGAAAGAATGAATAAAAGTAATTCTTATGATGAATGATATCATTTTTCTAGATAGAGGGAAGACTTCGTGTTAGTTTGTCTGTTTAAAGTCTTTCGAGAAGTTAGATGCCTTCACTTACTCCATGACACTAGAGCAAACATGAACATATGTGCGAAGCATATGAATTGATGAACTTATCAAATGAATATCAACTTAACTATATTCAAAGTTTTAAAAAAAACCAATTAATTACATACCGACTTTGTTGTTTCCCCTATTTCTAGAATGCGGAAATATTCCAATGGTAAAATCAATTCCTAACATCAAAATCAATACTCGAAGCATTTTACTTTCACTTTGTTGCTTTAGTCTCAGAAAAAAATGAAAAACGTATTTCGTATTTGATCAAATCCTTCCGTCTACAACATATAATTATTGAGTATTTCAGACATTCAGGTTACACAGACCCATTCATAAATTTTGCACAATCATATCATCTGACGATTGGTCGAATTGCAAACAAGTTTGTAATTCAATCTGTTTGAATTATCTTTCATTTTAAAAAAAGTAAAATCCAATTACACGTTCCTGTAGTGTGTGCTTTATATAGAAGAATTGTTATGAGGCATTGTTAATGTTCACTCTTTGTGTCGTTTGAAAAAAAAAAAATCTGCAATGAACAATTTTTAAGGAAACAATCATTTTACTAATAAAAGACAAGATATATTATTTATGAATAATTTTTAATTAAGTTATTTTTATATCTTTAATGTAAATTATAAAAACACAGATTCAGCTAAAACACAATTAATGATCTTAATGAACGTGTTTCTGGTGACAATAGAAAAATATTTAAGTATTTTCCTGATATCATGCACATCTTGGAGAAATTCGTATCAGCCAACCATATGCTGTTTTAATATGTGGCAATAAGCTTTCCATCCTTATTAGGTCTCTGTTGTTTCACAAGAAGATCCTTTGATGAAGATGGAAAAGCGATATTGATGTTTAGCAATTATAGAGGATATGTTGCCATCGTGCACCCGGATTTTCAAAATTAACGACAATGCATAATATGCAAGCTCGCCAAGGGTAGGAATTTCGGACATGTATCATTAATAAAATTTAAAGACTTTTTAATCATATTATTTGAACTCAGACTTTTGTTTAAAGGTATTGCACAAAATTTGTGCACAGTTTTAGATCCTTCATTTCATCTGTAAAAAGGGAGTAACTTTTCAAATTAGTGGCTCAGAGAGGCCAAATTCTTTTAACTATATCTCTTAACCGATTTTACAAACACATAAAAACATTTTTTTCCAAAAAAGCTACTTTATTGTCTAAGTTTAATGAACGTGTTTCTGGTGACAATAGAAAAATATTAAAGTATTTTCCTGATTAGATATCATGCACATATTGGAGAAATTCGTATCAGCCAACCATATGCTGTTTTAGTATGTGGCAATAAGCTTTCCATCCTTATTAGGTCTCTGTTGTTTCACAAGAAGATCCTTTAATGAAGATGGAAAAGCAATATTGATGTTTAACAATTATAGAGGATATGTTGCCATTGTGCACCTGGATTTTCAAAATTAACGACAATGCATAATATGCAAGCTCGCCAAGGGTGGAATTTCGGACATGTATCATTAAAAAAATTTAAATACTTTTTAATAATATTATTTGAACTCAGACTTTTGTTTAAAGGTATTGCACAAAATTTGTGCACAGTTTTAGATCCTTCATTTCATCTGTAAAAAGGGAGTAACTTTTCAAATTAGTGGCTCAGAGAGACCAAATTCTTTTAACTATATCTCTTAACCGATTTTACAAACACATAAAAACATTTTTTTCCAAAAAAGCTACTTTATTGTCTAAGTTTGCTGAACATCGATTTATTGCATGTCTGATTTTAATTTGTTTATTTGACGTTAATTGAATTTGTTTCACTCATACAGAGACGCCATTAATGCCATTGGAGGATTTCACATTTAAACCTATACTCGGCACTTTCGGTCTTTGTGCATTGAGGGACTTATATATGCACCTGCACCTACCTCGATATGAGACCTCGATTTATACGGTTTCACTCGAAGGACCAGTCTCCACGTCCCACAGTTGGATTCACATCCTCTAGAGCAAACACTCTCATCACTTCGCCACTCAGACGACTCTTTCTTTGCAATTAATGTGGACGTTGTTGGTATGTAGTGTTTGATTTTTTAAGATGTATTGTTTTAAGTTTCATGCAATACATTCTGTTGATATTTAATTTACACGTTTTGAACATTAAAAAATACAGCTTTAGATTATCTGAACTGTATTTGTACCCTTTTCTGATATCACACCCAATAAAACAAACACATTAATATAACATTGTTTTATGTATTTATTTACAAATAATTTAAGAAATAAACAATAATGTTGAAAATTTCTCTGGAAAGAAAACTTGGTTGATCAAATCCTGTGAATGTCAAAGGGCTTCACAGAAGATTTGATCACGCACCAACCAAGTTCACTCCAAAGTGAACTTTTTATAATGGTTGAATATTATACCTATATTTCATTTGGGACGAATATTTTACACGAAGGGTTCGCCGTTTCACGTTGCTATGTTGTGACGCCCAATGACCTAGAAGTAAGTTGTTTTGTATTGAAACTTTGTCTCGCTCCAAAATTTCAATATTTATATAGCTGCCAAAACCAGGAAATCTCTTGTTTATTATGAAAGAGCAATAATCGTTAATTCAAAAGTGGTATTATTGTCTGTATCAGTTAACATACCTTCCAAGGTATTTCTGGTAAAAAAAAAAAAAAGGTAAGCACGATTTTAGGCTAATCATATTATTCAAAACATTTTTCACATCGAAGGAAGATCAAATAAATATTTGTTGAATGAAAAACATATATTTCAATTCTTTTATCCTTTTCATCATAATCAATTTAGAAGTTCAGAAAGCAGTTTTACTGTGACAGAAATATGTAGGCAAGATATCATCTCGCCGTGATATTCGATGTTGTTATGACCTCTGATCCCCTAATAAGTTCTTCAATGGGTTCATCTAAGAAAATTATTTGCAAATGTAAATATTTATCTATAACAGATGACTCTGGATTTGTTATACAAAAAGAAATGTTTTGTGTTTTGTACGTGAATCATAACATTACGATATAATATCGGAGGTCTTTTGAAATATATTCCATATTTAAAATGATTTTTAATGCCTTGAAATCAAAAACTGAGGTATACATATCTTGCATTTCGTACTGATCCCTAATATTACAGTCTTCATATATATCCTATAGCAGGATTTGAAAAACCATGGAGTTTGGACTTCGGAACCTTTCTAGGTTCCTGCTTTCGTTTATGATAAATACTGCAGATGCAGATAACAATTAGTAGACTCAGACTGACAGCAGCTGCACCACCGTAGATAAAGTAGGTATGGATCCCTAAAATAAATAAAGATAATAATTATTGGTACGTACGAAAATAGAAAAAAATTAAAAAAAAATAAATAAATAACTTTGTCTCATCCTATTTATACCTCCTTCTCAAGACATTTAGCTTTGCAAGACATTGTATATTTTACCCACAATATAAGGCAAAGGAGAGTATGATTCATTCTCCATGATACGAGTACTAATTCGAGATCAATGCAAAACTGTTCAGCAATAATACATGTAACCCCTGACATAGAACAAATAAGTGATCATATGCATTTTTGATATTTTATGTAAAACAGAAGTTAAAAAAGTCCAAACCATTGTCTTTCCTTCAGTGTTTTAAAACAGTGATTTGAGTGATTACATTAATAAAGTGTTGAAGAAGAATTTATTTAGACGTATTTACTGATTGTTAGTATTGCATAAAACAAGTATTCAATGTACAGCACAGTACACTTACTGTGCATAATTTTTAGAATTAAGGATATATTATTTTATTACATTTGTTCAAGTCATTGGGCTTTTGACCCTAAAAACCTTTTTACTTAATTTAATATTTTGAGTTTGATATTTTGTCAAAATGATCTTGCAATCTGACGTTTGCCAAAATTGTAAATCTAAATTTACTGTCTTTACTACTTTATTCAACAAAAATTGCAGTGGAGTCTTCCAACGTATTCTCTTTCCACAAGATTTTTCTGAGTATGTCCAATTTCAAAGTGAGACATGTAATTCACAAATAAGTTGATGTCACTGGGATCTCAACGATCTAGTTTAGTGTCCGGATTTCGAAAATTCCAAGGTCGTTATAATGACCTTCCATTGGGTCAAAACTACCACAATACTAAACTCTCTGTAAAGAATAACACACTATATAACACATTGAATGCAGCATCCTACCTTCTGTATTGCTTGGAGAAGAAGGTGTTGTGACTCTCATCTTACAAACATTAAGGATCTTTTGTGTTGTTGATGGCTCATAGGACGGTGTACTCAATGTTCCATTGAAACATGTTCCACAACAACGACTAGGGTTCCATGGACAAATGGACTTACTACAGCCTTTTGCTCTGTCTCCATATTCACAGCCTTTTATCAAGCAATAAATCAGTATAGTTAGTATAAATATATACATGGTTTTAAAACTAACTGTCCAATAAGTTGATTTGGATGTTACGTTTCGAGTTTTTATAAATGTAACTTTGTACATACAAAATATTCACAAATCCAAAGATACAACTTATACGAGTAAATTATCGTACGTTTTATTGTGAACAGCACAAAGGGTCACTTTCAAGGTTAAAATCGTCAGCATTTTAATGCCATCATATTTAGGAATATACTCTTCTCACATTCCTTTTTTTTTCTTTAAGAACAACTTCATTGAATTACCTATTATTCCAGTATAGAAATTTCTGCACTGTCGACAACAAGTGTCTTTTACTGAGTAGCAAACGCTTGGATTTCTCTTTATATCTTCAAAGGAACACGTGGTCTCCACTCCATTAAACGTGATTGCAACACCCTCTCTATCTCCATACAAACAAGATTCTGTAAGATTAATTAATTGTATATTGTTCAACGTCCCATTCGAGAATTTTTCACTCATGAACAGACGCACACATTTTGAAGTCAGTATTTTTTCTATAATATTACGACTTATATATTTTAATAGCATTTCACACAAAAATTAATTAAAAATCTTATTTCATTTAAAAGTTATTAAAATTTCAAATTTTTGGCGGGTTTGATTGACACATCCTTGCACTTTCACAAATTTTAACCTTTTTTCTTAATCCTTAGGAAAAGTGGCAATCTTGTTGTGTATTAATGAGAAATATCAAAACTTTTCATGCGCGGATCCAGAGGGGGGGTCGGGGGGGTCAGGAATTTACCAGGTTAAAAATGCATAATTATACTAAAACAAGGAAAAAGTTACCATGGACCCCCCTTGGAAAACGCAGACCCCCCTGGGAAACACGAATATGTGTAAAATGTGTATGAAAAGTTAAAGATTTGAGGCAATAGAAGTCACCACTACCCCCCCCCCCCCCCCCCCCACGAAATAGGGTTTTGACGTTTGGGCGAGTTTTACTTTAAGTTTTTTTTTTTTTGCGTACAGAGTTTAGCAAATCGAGCACACTCGTGTTATGTACACAGTTTTTGTAAACAGGACACGAGTTCTGTTTTTGTTGATGTTTACAATTCACCGGGTGCGTTCAATCGTCACAGTCTGCTTACCACAACTGCACGGACTGACAATATACTGTGTGTTTGTTTTCATTTCGAACATGTTCTACTCTGAATTTTCTGGATCATAGTATTAATGTTTTTCATTTATACACAACGAGATTGCCACTTTTCCTAAGGATTAAGAATAAAATTAATTTGAAAGTGCATGATGTGTCAATCAAACCCGCCAAAAAATTTGAAATTTTAATATCTTTTATATGAAATAAGATTTTTAATTAATTTTTGTGTGAAATGCTATTAAAATATATAAGTCGTAATATTATAGAGAAAATAATAACTTCATATCTGTGTCCAAGTACCTTTAAATTCATCCATTCAAACAATTATTATAAAAGAAAGTATACAGTGTATAATTGAACGTCAAAAAAGGATACACCATCAATCATGATTATGAAATATACGTAGAGTGTTTGACCGTTTTTCCCACAAATAAGATTTTATAATGAAACAAACATGATTTTACCGTCACCTGGGGGCGCACATTCATCAAATTTACAGACACCAGAAATACACCACTGAAATTTAAATAAAAAAACCTACCTGTTAATAAAGTTGAAGATTTTAGTTAATACTTTATCAATGAAGGTCTAAGAAGAGTGTGGTTTAGAAGATACCTTTTTGTTCCCACATTGAATACCATCTCCCCCTACTGCCGAGACGCAACCATTACTTCCATCACCCCTCGTGCACCATAATTTTGTGCACAAAGACGCAAAGTTTTGCCTGTATATACTCTATCATAAGATATGGAACACAATTAAATAAGGAAATCTACTATTACCATTTTATATTTTAATGTATCTCCTTCACATTCAGATACTGCATTTGATATAATCACATAAATTTTCTGAAAGAATAAAAATAATGATGTCAAAAAATGAATAGACAAGATACATACCTTACATAATCCAGAGTTTGGACCCACAATACGTCTGCACTGTTCATCTGCATCATATATCTCACCAGGGAGCGCTGTATATTGCTTTAATGCGTCAGGATTGAAGTTTGGACTTAAGACACTCATACAGTTATTATTGTTCCTGTCAAGTATTAAAGTACTTAAATATTTCTGCACGTAAGGACATGTAATCAATAAAAAGTGTAGTCAATGAAAGGAAGTTACAGTAAGATTTAATATCTATTGTCAGAATACAAACAATATACATTTATTGACATTGCAATTTCAATAAATTAAAACTAAATTCTTAAAAATAACAATAAAATAAATTAACTGGTATGGTTGCATAGCTATAGAGTGGCATACCGGTTAAGCTTATTGATGAAGTTGATGAAATAATTTGTGGAACACGTGGAAAATTTCCATGGATTTTGGTTATCCACAGGAGTGGTACTGGGGGCCATGACGTAAGCATCAGCACCATTGCAGGTGTTTCCATCTCCGTCGTGCTTTGCACTTAATCTGTTATTTTATCAACAAATATTTTAACTTATTTTCTCTTCTTTAATTTACCTTTCCAAAACCAAACAGTCGGGTCATGAAAGGGTTATAATTAAGTATTTAATTTATCGTTAAAACTAACAGGATATAACAATTATGGTTCCAAAATTTCAGGTTTATAAAGGTGAACATTCGTTGAATGTTTTATAGTTTATTCGAGGCTTTATTAAAGTGAATAGATGTATGATATCGATATACAAATTACATTTATCTATACCCTATAAAGATTTAAAGTACCCGTGTCCTAGCTCGTGTGCTGCCACTGTGATGGCGTTGAAATTAAAGTGGTCCTCTACCACTGAGACAGCTTGATCTGTACATAGAGTTCCTAGCCAGGCAAGTCCTGTAGTATCCGCAGATCCACTACTGGTAAAATCGTATCTATAGATACACAACTAAATACCTTAGTCAGAGGTATTGGATTCAAATGACATTTTAACAACTTTAATGTTATCTAATATTTGATAACAGATATACTTTTTTTTCAAATGAATGTTTTAAATGTTATACCGTGTAAACATCATAGCATGGTCGTATTTTGGCAGACCGGGGGTTACTTTAACCCATGACGTCACAGCGTTGAGAACGTTATTGGAGTCTACTTGGTACCCGGAAGTTGTAGAAACTTTAAACTTTTCTGTAAACTCTGATTTAGAAGGTGCCTGTAGATGAGGTAAAAAAGTTTTATACAGACCTATTGCAAGACAAAATGCAAGATTTTGAAGAGAATATCGCACATAAAATAAGAAAACGCTTAATAAAACAATGAAACAAGAAAACAAAAGTGTTTTGAACATTTTTACAAGAAATACTATAATTTTGTGGTGGCATAGAGAAAGAATCAATTAAATTTCACATCTCCAAAAATTAAAGATATGTGTCAAATCATTAAATTAATGATTAAAGATTAATAAAACAATTAAACAAACAAAAAAAAAAAAAAAAAAAAGTTTTGAACATTTTCAAGAAATATTACAATTTTGTGGTGGCAAAGAGAAAGAATCAATTCAATTTTTCATCTCTAAAAAATTGAAGATATATGTCAAAATCTTTTTTATCATCAGGAATTATATGTCCCTGTTAAATTACTTCAAATATTACCATTCATTCTTATGAAAAACATACTTACGTCAGCGATATAAATACCAGAAAATACAATAGAAATTTTGAACGCAGAAGTTTGGATGTTTTTAAAACGAACGTCCATCTAATAAAAGAAAAAAAGATGAATAATATAAAAAACTAGATGCTGTCATGAGACAGTAATACCCGCACTAAGGTGTCTGCCTCTAAATACACAATCCTACGGGCGGCTTACCAAGGAAAAAGTCAAAATAATTCTATATAATTCAGGCACGTAGCATCGTTTTTGAAAGTGGGGGGGGGGGGGGCCAACCTGAGAAAAATTTTTTTACCAACCTAAAAAAATTAACATGGAAAAAAAAATGAAATGGGGGGGGGGGGGGGGGGGGGTGGCCACTTTTTTTTCAAGGCAAAATTAATTTCACTTCCAATTTTTTCCCATATTTCCTTGCAATGTATATACTGTGATAAAAAGTGGGGGGGGGGGGGGGGGGGGGGGGGGAGGGGCAACCATCTTTTCAATGGACATTTTCTTATAGTACAGGTAATGTTGGGAAAAAAAGGGGGCAGCCCCCCCAGCCCCCCCCCGGTTGCTACGTGCCTGTAATTTACATGTATTCATCAAATTGGGTATGAAATTATCCCTGTGACCTATAACTCAGAACCTCTTATATTCATTTTACATGCTTAATTCATTATATACCAGTTTGAATTCTATTAATAATGTAAATTAGATTTTGATAAATGTTTTGCTCATAATAGGACCTTTTTAAATTTACTAATCCCCCCCCCCCCCTCTCGACACCACAATCACACAGTGCATACTTTTGGGAATAGGCTAGATGGAACAGTTTTGTTAAAACATTGTTTGTTATGAATTAATTTAAAATTTGTTCTTGACATGTAAATTCTACATCACATCACGTTGCGTCACCCATTATCATATTTTTAGATTAAACTCCATTCGGTACACCTCGGCCGATTCCCACTTCATCTGATAAGGTGACGGAATCGACGGCACGAAGGTTTTCCGAATGGAATATCATTATAACATGCTGCAGAATGGTGTGCTTTGGATTAATTCATTTTGTGTTATAATTGGATTTATATTTCATGAAGTTTACAAGACCTATGGAGGTCGGTAAGTACAAGTTTAAGTATAGTGGGGGGTAAAATAAACCCAAACGATTAGGTTAAAGTTCAAAAAGGGTCAAAGATCATCGCATGCCACACTAGACGAATTTCATATTGTGAAGTTATCTCCCCTTGTCGATGTGACATTCAGTTACTGCCAATACTGGTGCGGATCCAGAATTTTTTTTCGGGAGTAGGGAGGGGGGTTCACATCTCGGTCAAAAAATTCATGCCTAGAATTTCCTGACAAGCAGGAGAAAAAAACTCATACACTGAAAACAAATAAACAAAAAAAACCCCAATGTTTTCTTAGTTAGGGGGAGAATGTCCAAAGTCATTTTTTATTTGCTTCAGTATATAGTCTTGTTTAAATAACAAAGGAAATTCCAGGGGGGGGGGGTCCAATCTCCCTACCCACTCCCTATCCCTGAAATAACAATCTATTTTGTGATTCCAATTAAATAGTATATTTTTTTCCATTTGACTAATTATGTACATATTTTGTTTCTTGTGTTTATATTATGTCTGTCTATTTGTCTGCAGAAATTATAACCTTGCCCATAAGTTTTAAGTGGGATGGGCTATACAATTGGCTTCCACATTTTATAGGTTTATTTCTTGTGACAATTAAGACCTTTTATTTGGGTACCATTAATTTTTACCTCTGATCACTTGACCTAGAATACACATTTTTTCAAGAAAAATACCCAACTTTAAACTTGGCCTAAATTTTGATCAGTAGGTGCTAGGGCTTTCATGCTTAACATGTGTATTCATTGTGAACTGTCAACAGGTATAAATATGTTTGACCTTGACCGTAGAGTTTGAACCACTTAAAAAATTTACCTTGGCAATTAACTTTTGAAGAGGAAGTACTAGGGATTACTTATTTCACATGTGCATTCCTTGTGACAAGACTTTTTTCTAATACCAACAATTTGAACCCTTTGACCTTGACCTTTGAGTTTGACATATATTTGAGAAACTTCAACCTTCGCCATAGGCTACCAGACAGGGACATCAGTGTTTCACAAACACATCTTGTCTTCATTATTATTTGGTGGTGTCTCCATATGACAGACAAATTCCAATGAGAGATGTATTCACAACAAACAAACAAATTACTAAAGAAAATATAAAACATGAATATGTTGGTCATGCATATCTATGCATGAAAAAAAAAACAGCTTTTCAAGTACTGCAACCATATTGTAACCCTTTCAAAACACTCATTTGAGCTTTTCTGGTTTCCTTGTCATATAATGTCTGTTGTGACATGTTGTCCATCTGTTTGTCTGAAAACATTTTACATTTTTTACTTTTCTAGAACCACTGGTCCAATTTTACCCATGCAATTCATATAGAAATATGTACATTTGTATGTCAGACTGTTCTTCTGTCTGAATAAAATTAACCTTGGTTATCACGGTCATATCTACTGAATGAGAAGAGACAAGGCATTCATATTAAACTTATGTACTAGTATTTACCTGTGAGAATGGCATGGTTTTTTTTTTTAACATATGACCTAGAAGTTTGACCTAGTTGCAAAAAAATTAAATTGTTATAAATTCATCATTTTGAAAGAGAAAAGTTAGGTCATTCATATTATAATGCATGTATATTATTACCTGTGATAAGATCTTTCCAAATGAATCATGACTTTTACTCTGTGACCTTGACCTTGAAGCCTAACCTACTTTTAAAAAATGTTGCATTTGCTTATAACTTTTGATTGAGATGAGATATGACTCTCACATTTGACATGTACATTAATTACTCATAAAAATTCAAGGTGTTTCCCAGCTTGCAATGTTTTTTTACTCTTTAACGATGATTTTTACATAATTTTCAAGATATTTAACTCTCCTAAAAGATGATTAGGCTTCTGAGTAACATTTAGGAGGACTTCAGGAAAGACAGGACTTTTTGCACAAAAAATGTCATTTTTCCACTCCCATTTGACCTCCCAGGGCAATATCAAAATTCCAAAACCTTGCTGCACATCTACATGACACTACCAACCATCTCCCTAAAGATGATTAGGCTACTGTGTAAAATGTAAGAGAATTTCAGGGAAGACGGGGCTTTTTGCATAAAAACATCATTTTTTTACCCCTATTTGACCCCCCGGGGCAAAATCAAAATTCCAAAACCTTCCTGCACATCTACATGACACCACCAACCATCTCCCAAAAGATGATTAGCTTACTGTGTAAAATGTAAGAGGAGTTCAGGGAAGACAGAGCTTTTTGCATAAAAAACGTCATTTTTCGACCCCCATTTGACCCCCTGTGGCAAAATCAAAATTTCAAAACCTTACTGCACATCTACATGACACCACCAACCATCTCCCAAATGATGATTAGCCTACTGTGTAAAATGTAAGAGGAGTTCAGGGAAGACGGGGCTTTTTGCATAAAAAACGTCATTTTTCGACCCCCATTTGACCCCCCGGGGAAAATCAAAATTCCAAAACCTTACTGCACATCTACATGACACCACCAACCATCTCCCAAAAGATGATTAGCCTACTGTGTAAAATGTAAGAGGAGTTCAGGGAAGACGGGGCTTTCTGCATAAAAAACGTCATTTTTCGACCCCCATTTGACCCCCCGGGGCAAAATCAAAATTCCAAAACCTTACTGCACATCTACATGACACCACCAACCATCTCCCAAAATATGATTAGCCTACTTTGTAAAATGTAAGAGGAGTTCAGGGAAGACGGTGCTTTTTGCATAAAAAACGTCATTTTTCGACCCCCATTTGACCCCCCGGGGCAAAATCAAAATTCCAAAACCTTACTGCACATCTACAGGACACCACCAACCATCTCCCAAAAGATGATTAGCCTACTGTGTAAAATGTAAGAGGAGTTCAGGGAAGACGGGGCTTTTTGCATAAAAAAAGTCATTTTTCGACCCCCATTTGACCCCCCGGGGCAAAATCAAAATTCCAAAACCTTACTGCACATCTACATTACACCACCAACCATCTCCCAAAAGATGATTAGCCTACTGTGTAAAATGTAAGAGGAGTTCAGGGAAGACGGGGCTTTTTGCATAAAAAACATCATTTTTCGACCCCCATTTGACCCCCCGGGGCAAAATCAAAATTCCGAAACCTTAATGCACATCTACATGACACCACCAACCATCTCCCAAAAGATGATTAGCCTACTGTGTAAAATGTAAGAGGAGTTCAGGGAAGACGGGGCTTTTTGCATAAAAAACGTCATTTTTCGACCCCCATTTGACCCCCCGGGGCAAAATCAAAATTCCGAAACCTTACTGCACATCTACATGACACCACCAACCATCTCCCAAATGATGATTAGCCTACTGTGTAAAATGTAAGAGGAGTTCAGGGAAGACGGGGCTTTTTGCATAAAAAACGTCATTTTTCGACCCCCATTTGACCCCCCAAGGCAAAATCAAAATTCCGAAACCTTACTGCACATCTACATGACACCTCCAACCATCTCACAAAAGATGATTAGCCTACTGTGTAAAATGTAAGAGGAGTTTAGGGAAGAAAAGTGTGACAGACGGACGGACGGACGGACGGACGGACATGAGTAACAACAATATACCCGAACTTTCTTTAGAAAGTGCGGGTATAAAAATTGCAATACTGAATTTACATTTTATTTAAAAAAAAAACTCCGATCTTAAAGTCATTAGAGTCAATTGATATAGCAAATATGTGTGTTTTATAAACCAACACTAAATGAATAGGCTACGAATACAATGAATAGAATATGTCATATATATAATAAATATATTGAATATTGTAATTCTGAAATGTTTAGGACATACAAATTTCAAAATATTAAACAAGCATACAATTACTTCTTTTTACCCCATTTATGACGAAAGAGTAGAATTGTCTTATGTTATTTTTAGCATCTTCATCCCTCTCTCTCGTTCCACTTGCTTTACTCTGTGTATACCAGCTATGTAATAACAAAACATAGTTATTATAGATTTATAGTAATGTTCAGTAAGTTATGGTTATTGAATCAAATTTTCACTCTCTCTTTCATGCATTCTCTAAATTAATCTCAATGTACCTTTTTAAATCAAATTCAAATCTTACTATTCATAAATGGCATAATCAATGATAAAAAACATCTCTATTTCATAGTCGTTTATTTGTCTCCTATGCCTATGTCTTTTTCTCGTGTTATGCTGCCAATTTTCTGGGTTCATACCTAACAAAAAATATATTTTTACATAAATAAGTTAAATAATTTGTTTTAACAGCTTGAAGAGAAATGCTTGATTAACACTTCGTAGAAGAGTATCACAAAACTAATTTTTAAAAAAAATGACTCACAAAATACATCAGCTGCTATTTATGAGTTTAAACTTTTTATGCGGGTATATATATGGCACGCCAAATCCACAAAAATGAGCAAAACATAGTTTCACAGTCGATAAACTAAGTTTATCGGTTGTAAACTATAGTTTACGGACTGTAAACTATAGTTAACAACGTTAATCTATATTTTACATCTGTAAACCATAGTTAACGCGAAAATCTATGTTTCACAACCGTTAACTATACTTAACATCGAAAACAATCATTTGCGATTGCAAAACATAGATTATCTGATAAATACAGTTTCACGATTTGTAAACTATAGTTTACAAACCGTTAACTATAGTTAACGATCTGATAAATATAGTTTCACGATTTGTGAAACTATGATTAACAACTCTTAACTACAGTTTACGATTGTAAACTATAGTTTACGAAAGTGAATCTATGTTTATCAACAAAATCTATTGTTAACGCTTATTACAGACAGATAAACTTAGATTATCATTCGTTAACTATAGTTAACAACCGTTAAATATAGTTTTATAGATGAAAACTATACTTAACGAATCGTTAACTATAGTTTACGGTTTGTAAACTATAGTTTACAGTCGATAAACCTAGTTTATCAAATGTGAAACTAGGTTTATCTCATTTTTGTGAATTTGGCGTGCCATATATATATATGCAAAATTGAATATTGAGATTAGAGGATCTTCTTATAAAGAATCGATTTTTGGTGTTATCTTCACATTACACACTTTCATTTAATTGCACAGATACAATGTTTAAGCAGATCTAAAAACCACATATTGAAAGTTTAACTCGTACAAATGAGAAACATAGTTCATTTATAATTTCTAATGATAAAAATATTCTTGAAATCTTGCAGCAAAAAACCTTTATATTTTACACTGAAATAAAAATTCAGCATTATTAAATGTTTTAACCTTAAGCCAAGAAGAATAAAATAATACACAGACGTACTATTTCGCTTTTGGTGTACGTATTTCATTAAGGGTTACCATTAGTAAACTAAAATACTAAGTTTGTATTATGAAAATAGAATACGATGTTTAGTAAATTTTTTACTCACTTGGCAGAATTGGATCTGAAAAGGTATGGCGTGTCTGGTCTAACTGTACAACCTTGTATTTTATATCTCCGCCAGAGTCAGACAAACAGGCTTTTGGTTCTGGCTCAATTAGATACTCATTTTTTCTGTGTAAAAACACTCCTGTCTATTTTGATGAAAAAATATTTAAAATATTAGAAAAAAGTTTCAAAGATTGGTAAGATTATCAATAAAAAGGTGAATTATCGTACATGATATTAACAACATATAAAATGATAAACTATGATTCATTTCAGCTCATTCAACATATCCTTAAGCTTGTAATCTCATATAAATATTTTTGTACCTATCTCATAAATATTTCCATTGAAAATAGACGTAAGTAAAGTATCTTTTTCGGATCTTGAAATTTATGTGAAATGATCTCTTTGTCAGCTTTTTTTTTTATATTTACAAAAATGTAAATATGTTTCGTAGATAAAGCCTTCTGTGTTATTTGGTGTTTATTTGTTTTTAAATTGTAATGAAAAATCAAATTAACAGATGGAGATTTGTCAAGTTTGTTTTCTGTAAATATGCAGTGGTTTATTAATTTTTTTTGAAATATCTTTTTTTAAGATTTAAAACAATTCTAGACAATTTTAACCCCATTAAAATAACATACCATGCATTGTGAGGAAGAATTTTGTATCATAATAAAAGCTGCTCTATGTTTTGTAGCATCTTGATAAAATTTGACCTGTTAAAAAAGAATTTTTAAGTAAAGATGCAACTCATTTTATTATTCAAAAAGATTTTATGAGTGCTAAACAACTTTTGTTCTTTTTTGGAATACTTCAATGTTAATGTTAACCATATGTTTGTTGAAAGCCTTGTATGTCCTTAAAGCATGACATTGCAAAAATAAAAAAAAATCATTTCCGTGTTAAAACTGGGCTAGATACACAAAAAATCCATCATAATTGAAATATTGTTTTTTAAATCAAATACGATAAGCGGAAATAAAAATTTGTTTAATAAGTACACAAGCTATACTTCATTAACAATGTACAATAAATTTAAAGTAGGAGTCATTGTAAACTATAGTGTTTAGAACCACACCTGTTGTTTACTTTCCGGCTGTGATAAATGCTGTATTTTTACGCTGCCCTTATTATCAGTTGTATATACTGGCACGTTTTTGTGTAATCCCCTGTTACTTGTTAGTTTGAATTCTATTAATTCATCTTTGATGTAAAAGGATATGACACTTTGTTCAGATGAATCAGCAGATCGTATTTCTCTGTCTCTTAAGTGTGTAACATTAACTTTGACATCATCTATAAAATAGAAGAAAAAATCCAAAGCAGTTATTTAATGTTGTTTGCATTAGTGTACATGTATATAAGTTTGAAGGAAAACACATTGTAAAAGTCAGATATTTGATCATTTAGCCTTGCGTATATTACGGAATAGCATTTGTATGCTATTCCGTATACATATATGCAGGTTGTCTCCAGTATAGCGTTGTTAAATTACTTATCTTGCGCAATGTTTACTGTACACATAATTATATATATACATTACGTTTAACAGTCACCTCGAACAAGAAAAAAAATACTGAAGGTTACTAAGTTATGAATACTTACTAAACTGGAGACGGACATTGTAGTCCGTAAATGGAAACAGTCCTTGAACTAAATCAATCCCGAACATGACGATCAGGACTCGAGACATCTCGCATACTTGACTAAAGCGTTAAAAAGTAAACAGTTGTGATCTATTTAAAACAAATCCTAGGCTTGCGTAATTTAAAAGTTCGACTTTTCCACCCGTTCGTAGTGCGGTTAAGTATTTAAATATTAATATGGTCATGGATGAGTACATCAAAACAACAAATGTATCACATGGTATATTGTTTTGTCATTCCTTGCGTATTCCCTGTTCTATTATTCTTTAAACCCCCTACCACAATAAATAGCTGTCGATATACTGAGATATGAATTACACAGGATGTTAAAAAATTGTTGCGGGAAGAAAGATTGATGCGTTGTATGAATGTTCTTCCGTATATCCTTTGTGACATCCCCCCCATTTTTTTTTTATTTTGTTCGAAAAATCTTCCTTTACCGATGTTTATTCAGCATTATACGGGAAAAGAAGTTTAAAGTACCCACGTCCCTTTTCATATATCTATCAACAAAAATATGTTTCAAGATTATCATCCTTTACATCAGAGATCCGTTATAAACAATCATCATATTCGTATGCATAAGCATTTACTTAAGAACTGTTTTTTCTACTTAGCAGATTGAAATTTTACTTAGCATATTGCTTAGTTTGTTGCATAAAACTTCTCAACTCCTAAGTATATGCTCAGCATATGCTTAAAGTTAAGCATGGTCTATACCTGTCTTAAGTCCTTAAGCATATTGCTCAAGTTATTTCTAAGAGCTAATTACACAATAATAATTAAAGTATAAAACACAATCTGCATTTATCCACTTTATTATGTGGCTTCCTAGACCTAAATTCACTTTAGGATAATATTGGCCTTTATAGACTTATGAAGATGCGAGCGATTGATTTTCAAAACATTCTAAGAATTGAAGTAAGTTAATTGTTGTGTAGTTTTGTAAGCACCCGTGACAATGCAGTCGTCCTTTTTTAGATCACTAGTGTACTTCAATTTATGTTAAATTATTCTTACATGTATCCCATATAATACGTAATTTTCATGTAATTATCATTCAATTAATGCCTAAAGAGAGAGAGAAAGTGAGAGAGAGATAATAACTGTAAAAGTACCAAATATTACACAGATTATATACACACATTTGAAAGGACTTAAACCTAAATTCATTATGGAAAAAGTGTATACCTTATATGTCCTCTAATTCTAAGGAAAATAATTTAAAAATTAATTCGATTCGCTCTTCCTCTCAAGTATGCAATTTTTTCCTCTAGGCTACATCCTCCACGGTTTATTCATATCCCTCTCTCTCTCTCTCTGATAAGATAACACATGTCATCAATATCAAACAAAATATTTTGATCTGTTAAAGTGATCAAAATATAACAAGAAATAGTTATAAGAGGAAGAATAATTAATTTAATAGGAATAATACTTTCCTAATCTTATGTCGATCCTTGTTTCTTTCTCATGGCATGTGTTTGTTTACGTTTAAGTGAAAGCGGAAGTGACTTTATTGACATGACAACAGTGTACTTAAGCATCTTGCGATATGCTTAGCTAAGAATTGCTAAGTATGTTGCTTAGAATTTTTATGCAATGGAAATGAAGCATGTTACTCAGCTAAGAATATGCTTAAGAAATTTAAGCATATACTTAAGAAAATTCTTAGAATTTCTATGCATACGAATCCTGGACTTTAGTTGCTAAAATTGCAATAAAATTACATTCTAACTTTTTCAAATTTAACGAGGCCTGATCAAGTTGAACTGCGCATACGTTTTAACGCAGCGTCGACTCATGCACGTCACAGTACCCTTGACTGTCGTCACAATTGAACACAATAACGTCACAATAAAAATGACGTCAAATTGCGCTAAAATGTTTCGCTGCCCTTGCATACCTGGTAACCCTATAGACTGTACATGTTGAAAGCTGGTATTACTTAAGAAATAAGGTATCATTTTTTGAGTTTTATTGAGATGTAAAACGGGTTGGTCACGTGATCAAATCCCATAAAGCCCGAAGGGCTTTATGGAAGATTTGATCATGTGCCAACCCGTTTTACATCTCAATAAAATCTCAAAAAATGATACCTTATTACTTATATTTACATTTTTGACTTATTCATACTTTATATTTGCCTGATTGTTACTTTTAACGTGTGAAATGCGTTAATTTTTCAAACCCAACGGCATGTATGTAATCCACTAAACGCGCGTCGACCCTTTATGACGTCACAGAGAAATTACGTCGAACGTTTATCCAAACGCACATCAATGACCTCTTGACCCCATACCTGTATTTACACAGTTATAAAATCGCTTGCCTTCAGTAGTGTTATATAAAGGAAAACATTTGCAAATGTAAATATTATTATATACATGTTTGAAAAAAAAATTAAAGTGATAAACAACTTTGGAACATGATTTATTTTGAGGTATCAATTTCTTGGTACATATTCATTAATTTTACCTTGTTTTATTTCAATTTGTGAGTTATAAAACAAACATTGCAAACCAAAAGTAAACAATTTTAGTCTTTCTCCTTGAATATGTTGAAGTCTTTATACACCCCCCTTTTTTTATTGAGGACTTAGATATGCATGAATTAGCTTGATTTAAAAAAAATCAGTCTATGAATCATTTCAATGCAACCGCCGATATATTTTATTTTTCTATATATTACATGATATTAGTAAAATTCGTCATTTGTCGCCTTTACCCCCCCCCCCCTCCCCCTTTTCCACGTTTAATAACGTTGCGTATAAAAAAAAAAGAAAGCATTAAAAGAAAATTATTTCAAAATGTAAGAATTATTCATTTTTTAGAAACTAATACCGTATTGTAATCGTTTGTTGATGTTATGTACACCCATGGCGACTTATTTCATGTCTATTTGGATAAAATAAGTGCTAATTTTGTGTTTTGATATGCCCCCTTTTCACTGCAATAAAGGCTACCTTTAATTTTCTTTTCATTTTTTATAAGAAGAATGAAAATTGCATGATATATGTGAAAAACAAAATATTTCATCATATATATTTTTTAAATTTTCAATTTCTTTGTCTATTAGAGGGTTTTACTATGTAATTGTGTATAAAAACACAAAAATGGTCCATATTTTGACAGTGCCCCCATTTGACTACAATAAAGGCAAGGTAATAAAATTTCATTCTAATTTTTCTTAGCATAATACATACAAAAATATTTCCAAAAATTAAAATTTTTTATCATTCCGTTTTCGTTATTTTCAACTAGATTGGGCCTCGTTAAGTATTTATATTTTTTACATAAGTTGTGTGCATTTTAAATGCAAATAAGTCAGATATTTTATGCTACATTAAATTTATTAGTTATATATTTTAATGGAATGAAGGCTTAGATTTTAAAGTGTTTGTCAAGAGCTTTATGATTAAATTGAAAAAAAGGAACATGCACAATCAATATTAAAAGTCAATTGAAAAGAAACGAATGGGAAGCAGAGAAAACTTGAATCTCTTCGAACATCAAAGATTGGATCAGGCGCTACAAAGAGGTAGGCATCCTCTTTCAAACATCTAAATGTGCCATTTGTTGCTTCTTGTTATGATAGGACATCTAAATGTGAAATTAATGTACATGCATTACCAAACTATATGAAAACTTAAGGCAAGTGGCAACTTAATGATAGATTTTCTGACAAGGTCACTATCGGATTTGAAGACTTTTTTTAATCGAACATAAGTATCTTATGAACCATTAATTCAACTCTCCCTGAACTTCAATACTTTAAACTGAAATCAATCTAAAACATCAGAGATGGGACCAGGTGCCATGGACGAGTAAATATACATGCATTGTCGAATTGTCCCACTTGCCCTGTGCTCCTTTTCATGTAATGGGGCAAACGGAAAAGTTCGTATAAAAATAATTTACTAATACTTGATTTTAAAAAAGATTGATTTTGCTGATATGGTCACTGTTATGACCAAGAACTTGCAAAATGATGACTTTAAATGATACTTGTTCTGCCATCTTGTTTGTTCATCGGTTCCCCCGTTTCAAAAATTGCTCGTACGTAGAAAATGTCTTGCGTATCGAATCAAGTGAGAAACATGAAGCCTAAATGCAGATGATAAAGGTTAACTGCTACATATAGAAAAGCCCCAGACATCATGTTTATCATGAATTTTGTTTTTAGGTTACTATTAACATATTTCTTGAATTTGTTCTTCATTCTTGAAAACATGTTTCTATCAATTGTTTATGATCTTGTATGTTTCTTAAAATACCCATTGATTGCGCATGACAATCTCTGTGAATCTCTGACAAATTGATCACATATCGGCATACATTTAAATTTTTGTAAAAAATATTATGATTTTTTTGTAAAAATCATATCACTTCAGATTTTAATGGAAGCCTTAAGATAATCTTATCATACAAGTAAACAATGCACTTTTAACAATTTAGTGCAAATAGAAGAAAACATAAAGCAATACAGGACTGTTTGATCCAATACAAAATTTTATCCCTTTAAAAATTCATATTTTTCTTCCAAGATTAAATTACAAAATATAATTTTAATGAAACTTTCAGGAGTTTTGTAACTGATCTAATGTTATTTCATTCAGTTACTGTACAACTTTTTTATTTTTTATTCTTTCTTGCTGATTATGATATTATGACATCAAACATTGACACACACTTCCGGAATGTAAAATAAATCCAGACTATCATCATAACTCTCCTTCTTTTGTTATGTTCCCCAAACGAAGTTGGGGAACATATTGTTTTTACTCTGTTTCTTATTAAGGTCTTCCGTTTCCAACGGAAGACCTTATTGTTTTCGTTCGGTTTCTTTTTCCCTATTATTATTATTCTTACCGATTTTGTGCACGCGAGTTCTCGGTAGTGGCTCATCCGATTTTAATCAATCTTTCAGATCTGATAGGTATTGGTCTGAACCTTATTGGAAATTTTTTTCGGCGATGACGTCACTTTCTATCTCGAGATATTATGAATTTTCTGATTTTTAGAGGGTAGGCTTGTCCGGGAAACTCCTCCGAAACGACTTAAGATATTGACTTAAGATTTTTAGTGAAAGTAAAGGAAGAATTGTAGAGTTGCGAGCTGGTGTCCAAATCTTTCTAGCGCAAAAGGCGCCGGAGCTCGGTAGGGCCCGAAAAAATCTCAGAAACATCTCACAAAATTTGACACCTTTTGTTTCATATCTTCTTATCTCTTTATAATTTGTTAAGACATATTGAACGAAAGTTGTGCAGAATTACAAGAACTATTACATGATATGAAGAAAATGGGGCTGACTCATCAAATTAGGGGCTCAGAGGGGCCAG